ATGATGGGGTGTCCAGACCTGAGGCTCCCACCACAGCTAGATGCTTCTCCAAGTCTCTGGATCCTATTAGGGCTTCATTGACCAGGTCTCAAATGCAAAATCTGATTCCAGCCCGCTCGTCTGAGACAAGCAACTGTCTTAGCTGTTCCCACTCTGCTTTCAGTGAAAGCAGAAGACACTGCTGATTATGGGTAAACTTGGATTTTATGGACATATCAAATACAGGGAGGGGGATGAGAAATGAACAAATAAATGTGCAGACAATTTGATTTTCAGAATTTGGAAAGAACTTGTGATAATATAGCCTGGAAACTACTTCTGTGAAAATACATAGTGACATATTGGAGACGGGGTTCAGATACAAAAGCAACCCACTACCTCACTTCTCTACTGGTATATATACCCTTCCTAAACCAGGGTGCTCTCCACACACTGAATATGTCCTTGTGCACACCTAAACACATGTAACACGTTTAACCCCATCCATCAAAAAAAAAAACCAGCTCGAGGAGAAGAAATCCTTCATCCTCCTCACCTCCCTTCCCTCCAACGGGTATCTTTCTACCAGCTGTAACTTCCTTTGCATCAGGATTGGGATGCAACCTTTGCAGCTTTCTGGGTTTTTTAACTATGCACATCTGCAGTACAAAGCACCCCATCACCAGTGACACCCCTTACCTTCGTGACAGCTATCCACACCTAGTGCTCGGGAAGAGTCGGGTACATTGGGTTCCTTGCAGTAACCCTGGGCATTGATACCCTTCACCACCCACATCTCTGAAAAAGGGTCAAGCCCCTTCTTGCTCAAATTCGGGAATCATAGCTTTCCAGAACACAGCGCCAACCCGCTCCTCCCCTTCCCCTGCACCAAAAATTATCATGGAGAACAACTTCACCACCCAGATGATGCTCCAGAGCGGCCAACAGCAGGCATGATCCCCTTCTACATCAAGCCAGCCGCTGGCTATGCAGAGCTTTGGCCATTTCCATGAGCTGTTCCACTTGGGTCAGTGTCCTGGATCTGTCCTCTGGGGCTAGGGAGGATTTTTTGGACAACTTGTGATTTTCAGCTACTACAAATTACTTTTGGTAGAGGGTGAGGGCACAGCCCAACCTCCTCCCACCCTGCTCCAGTGCCACCGGCCGCGACGTGGGGATCTGAGCAACCAGAGACTGCACTAGCTACCTGGATTCCTCCCTAACTGCCCCCAGTCTGTGTTATCATGAGTGAGGTCTGGAGGCCCCTGCAGATACATCCCGACGCCCTCCACTTGTCTTCGGGTCCCATGGTGAAGGTGGGATTTCAAGGAGGAACCACCTCTGTTCCATATGCCCTACAGGCAGCATTTCTGCAGATATGGTTTAGTTTATCAAGCAAAGACAACGGTTACATGACCCAGAGAAGACAGACGCAACACGTGGAGCATCTCTGAGGGCAGTAAGACCCGTAGACCAGCCTTCCCAGTGCCTACTCCAGATTCCCAAGGCTTTTCAAGAGTCTTTATGAACATCTCTGCTAGGAGTCTGGTTGTCTTCCACCCAAGCAGTAGCTGCACTTCCCCAAGTTCCCATCTCTCATGAGCCCTTGGGATGAGAGACCATAAAGCTGTGCTGTATACCTCCAGTTTTCCAGCTGCTATCAACCAGCACAGCTCAGCTGAGGTGGGTGGAAGAAGGAGGCAAGGAAGGGCCAGGGGGAAATTGCTTAATGGCAGTGGAGCAAGAGCTTTACACTAGCGTCTGGCTTTTCATGTAGAAAAAGTGAAATTCTGCCCTTTTGCTGCAGGCTGGTGGTTCAAAAGCAACAGGGAGATGCATCTTAATTAAACAGTTTATCCAGGTCTGCAAACCAGTAACTCACAGCTTTCAAAACCACAAAACAGCAATTAGTGGGAGGGTTCCTGATGTCCTGGCACATAACGAAGCATGACAGCACATAAATAAAATAAGAACTAGAGAATTAATTATGGGCTAAACAAATTCATTATGGGTCCTCAATCAATGGCAATACAAGTGTAACCTTTCTTCTTACACCTTGATATGAAAATAGATCAACTCGGCAGCAAAGACTTCCCTCGTGCATCTCTGACTCAAACCCAGCCTTGGAGCCGCCTCCCGGGTCTTGCGCTCACTTCTAGCACTCTCCTGGTTATAAAAATCAGAAGAAAGCTGAAACCCTCTAAAAACACGTTCCAGGAAAGTTCCAGGAAAAGAATAATAACATCCACAGATCCCCTATCTACAAGCAAAGTGCCCAGAAACAAGATCAAGTGCAACCCACAGACCGCAATCCCCGTCACCTCCTGCTCTGCAGACAGAGCCAGCGGCTGGTTTTCTGGTAGAAAATGGAAAAAAAAAAAACCAGCAACTCAGGAACTGAAGGCTGGAGGGTCAGAGCAATCATCTCTCTGTAAAAAAAAAGGGAGCAGAAAGACCAGAGAAACTCAGAGCAACAGCTAAGAGGCTCAGCATCCTCGAGTGAGGCTCTGAGGACACGGCCCTTGCGCAGCAAAGGGAAAAGCTGGAAGGAAAGTTTTGCATTAACACGTCGCAAAAGGGACCTGCAATAGCGAGAAAAACCCCTTTGTTTACTGGTTTCCTCCATGCTCGGACAATTTTTGCACCATCTTCATAAATAAACAACCCTATATAAAAATTTCCCTAACGCCACCTGTGATTTCTTCACAGCTAAAATAACTCATCATTTGCTGAACGTTGTAACCACGGGCTTCAGCAAAGGCTGAGTTCAGCACATCCTCTTCCTCAAACACCGAGCGGTTAGCTGATAAAACACAGAAGGGTTTATTTTGTGCGCCAACAAGCCAGCAGCAGCCTTACTTCTTCATACACTTTGGGTTTTTTTAAATCAGTGGCTCTTAGAAACCTGTATATTCAGAGTAGGATCATTTCATTGCATTTTTATCATAAAAAAACCCCTAACGCTACCGCTTATCTGGAGATTTGATTTGACGTGATTCAAACCCGATCTTGCCAATTAAATGCTCTCGAATTTGCACGGTCAAGGATCAGTCAACACCGATCATATTTTAAACTGCTTGAGAGTTTAATAAGCAACTTGATAAAGCCTCGTGACCTGCCTCCTCCAGCAGCTTTGCGCTGTTCTCCTGCAGAAATGCTGCTGTGCACCATCCCGGTGCGGTCTGCACCGACTCAGGGTGCCGAGGGGTAAAGCAGGAAGGCAGGAGGTAGGTGTCCATCCCAGTGGCTTTTGGTCACCTGTAGGTTTCCAGTCAACATGTTGAACATAGAGAAAAGGTGTTATTTCTTACCGACAGCAGGGAACGGCACAAACCTCTGGATCAAGAGACGAGTGGCGGGGGTAAACTTGTTTGCTCTCTGAACCAGAACATTAAGGCCCACCTTTGAATAGAAAACAAAACATAACAAAACAAAAAGAGAAGCAGAAACATTTAGCTACAAGGAGCAGGGCAGATGCCACAGCTTACAGACAGCAGCAGAACTCTTCAGAGGGACAGATTGGGGTCTCTCCCCATGCAGAAGTGTTCAAGAAATAAACCCCCACACACACCCTGCAGGGTTGTGTTGGGTTCAACCCTTTATTCAACGAAGGGCTGAACCCAACCGTTGGGCTTAAACGAAGGGTTGAACCCAACCGTTGGGCTTAAATGAAGGGTTGAACCCAGCTGTTGGGCTTAAATGAAGAGATGAATCCCACCGTTGGGGTTAAATGAAGGGTTGAACCCAAGTGGACTTGAACCCAACCACTGGGTTTAAATGAAGGCTTGAACCCAACCATTGGGTTGAACCCAACCACTGGGTTTAAATGAAGAGTTGAACCCAACCATTGGGTTGAACCTAACCGTTGGGTTTAAACCTTTTCCAGCTAAAAGACAAGCTAGAAACCACTGCAACGTCACTCAGTCCTTCTGGAAATGCCCCTAGCTCCATTTTTACCCAGTTCACGGGCATTTTCCCCATTCAGCACTAAATCATTGGGGCTGGGAGTTCTCACCCAGCTGGGAAAAAGCCGAATATCAGCGGTGGTGGTTGGCCCAACACAATTCATTCCTCCTCCCAGGGTCTGTGCAAACTACACCACCCCACTTCAATGCAAACATCTGGGCTATGAAGGAGCTATTAATAGAAACAAGAGAGAGCAGGCAGTTTATTATAACCGTGGATCATTTTCTCGTTGCCTCCTCCAACACTTGAATAATGCAGAGCTCTCCACAGATTTGCAGGGATCTAAGTCATTGCGTATGTTAATATAAACAGCACGGAGGAGAGTCGCTGCCTCGTCAGCCTCAGTGCGGTTGGATAGTAGCGATAGTCGGAGAATTTCCATCAAAATTTGTTTCAAGCAGAACTGGGGTTATTAATTAAACAAACCTATTCGCAGGGAACGACCTCTGTCTTCAAATTACTCTCCCTCACAATATTTTCTTTTCTTCATCCAAAAAAAAAAAAACCCCAAACGTGCAAACAAAACCCAACAGCCCCCAACTGGGAATTTTAGACCGAAAATGGAAGTCTTTAGCAACGCCTGGCCAAAAAAGTTTTCAGCCAAAAATGCAGCAAAATTTAAAAAAAAAAAAAAAAAAAAAAATTCAGCCAAAGCCAAAAACCTGCCAGCAAATAGTGATTTGGGAGCTTTTTTTTTTTTTTAAAAAAAAAAAAAGAAAGAAAAAAAGAAAAGAAAATAAAAGAAAAGCATGGGAGAACATATTTTGCAAGCTGCTACATTATACATGCATCTGCAGTGCATCTCGTCTTTTTGGAGGCTGAGAGGAAGATGTTGAGAAGCACAACTGCTGGGTAAGCCCTGCCTAAGCACAGCGCTGGTTTGCAGAGCCCACGGAGTGTTTCCAGAGCCCCACGAGGCTTTCACCAGGACCTCAAGCAGGATCCCGTCCTCCTCCCCTTGGCCACCGCAACTCTAGCGCTGAGCCCAAGAGCGCCACAGCGGCGCTTCTCAGTCTAGGCAAGAATGAGGGTTTTATCTTTGTAGTCTTCCCCCTAAAAATGACTGAATGATTTTTTTTTTTTTTTTACATTTTCCAAGTTCCGGGATGCGTATTGGCAAAACCTGAATGCTTCCAGAAACTGTAAAGCAATCTAAAACGTGTGGCTTTAAGAGTAAATCTAAGACAGTCTTAAGCATGGCTTTGCTGGTGCTGCCCCATGGATTTGGGTATTTCTAGCCCAGATACAGCTCATCTGTGTCGATGACAGATTTGGTTGGGTTTCCAGCCTCTGCTTGTAGGTTTGATGGAGGGATTAGACCATGAAGAGGAAGAGCAGCAGCTCTTGAAACAGAAAAGATGCAGCCGAGCCTGGGAGAGACACCGCTGTGAGGCTAGTGGTAATAAAAGCATTTTACTTTCAGATTCAATTTGGTGTTGCAGATGAACTCGCTCCTCCACTTACAGCAACCACCCCGCTGTGAATATGAAATTAAATGTTGCTATAGATTTAAATCCAATCTCCCAAATTCCCAACACGAGGACTAGATTTAGGAAACTAATGAGGGTTTGTTTTTTACAGTTTTGAAATTGCTTTAGCCAATCTGTGAACTCTTTC